TAAAATTAACAGGTTCGAGCAGATGAGATCTACCTTTCCTTCGAGCCCCATGCTCTGAGGATCTTTAAAGCTATAACTCTGGGAAAGGAAGGAGCTAAATTCAGACACCGCCCTCCACTCTGCATCTGCTCCCGTAGGCGGCGCTGGTCTATTCTAGCATATTGTGGATCCACGTGCTGCTTTTATAAACAAGCATTAGTAATGTCCTCAGGAGATTCCTGCCTCCATCTCTGGGCCTTCTCGTGCACCAGCGTTTCCTCTGCTGCTATTCTGTGTGAAGGAAATGGCAGCAACACAGAGCTGGGAGACCTGTGCACACCAGTGATGACCATGCAGGTGGCAATCTGAAAATTGAAGCCTGATCTGTTCCCGCAGAGACACTGGAGCTGCTCTCTGAGTCAGGAACAGCTGGGGGAGGGACCCCGGGAGCCTGAAGGAGGTTCAGTGAGGGGCTACCTCCTGGCCAGGTGTAAGTCCACCAGGCAGCTGTCAGAGCTGAGCCCAAAGGGAAAATCAGGTCAGAGTCAGGTGGACTGTCCTTAAACTGGGTAGCCATTCAATGGGGGGTAAACGAAGGTAGGACACTAGGGGAAAAGGAGCAGCGGCCGAGGGGATGAGCTCCCGGCTCACTGGCGTGGTTCCCTCTCACATGGCTGCCAGCTTCATGACATCTTGTCCACTATGTCCCCAGTCCTCATACAGTATCCAGCACATGGCAGCTACTCAGTAACTCTTTGGCTTGAGGATGGCGCCGGGGTCTGCTTCCTAATTTCAATTCAGTTCAGGAAGACTTGAGTCAAAGTGCTTTGTTCCCATGACCAGAGACTGACCCTTCGGGAGCTGTTGCAGAGGATACAGGAGGAAAGGGGTCCAGGATGGGACTGGGGGCGTAGGACACAGGGCTGTCCCCCAAAACCCCTGGGCACCATAGCCTAGCCAAGTTGACACATAAAATTGACCATCAAAAGGTGTGAGTAGGTGAGGGACAGCAATTAGAACATCTCGTTGTGGTCAACTCATTATTGAGTGGACATTCCTCTCAAGTTCCTCTAGGAAGGGTCAGCAAGCAGCTCAAATCTTCAGGGGCCAGTCAGCTAATATAAAAAATGTAAGACAGAGCAGAGTGAATGGTGGGGTTTTATGAGCTTGAGAGAATAGGCCCTTTGTAAATATATTCAAATTCAAACTTTGAAAAAAACTTTGGGTGGCAAGAAGCCTGGGTATGCCCTTCAGTATTTCTGGGTTCGGTGCAAGCACAAAATAGGTGGCCAGCATCCAGGCTATCGTGTGTCAAACCCACAAGAAACGGAGTTTTGCTCAGGTGCTCAGGGAGCGTGCACCGCAGTTCCTAGGTGCAGAAGCCTAGGAAGAAGTTTGCACAGACCACCCATGTAGCTCAGGAACGAAATGGAAAGAACAAAATGGATGTTAACTACTTGGAGAAGTTGTTTCTGACTACTGATATGGTGGCTATTTTAAGGGAGCGATAAGTACAGCATTCTGCTGCTGCTGAAAAAAAAAATTGGTTATAATGGCCTCTCACATGCAAGAGTGAAGAGTTGGAGAGCGAGTTTATTCTGGTATTTGCTGGAGTCTTCTGGAATTAGCTGAAAAACTTGTGAAAATTGGTCTGACATTTTCAGGAGTCAGAGAAGGTTAAAAAAAATAGGCTGCAGAAAAATTCTAGCTGATTTGGTTTGTAGATTTGCAAAAAACCTTCTGGATGTTACTTAAGTGTCACCTCTACTCACACTTCCACATTGAGCAAGCAATATGTGCGGCAGACAGACACTAAAACTGCCCCCAGTGATCTCGTCTCCTGGTGCTCATGTTCCTCCCGTTCATTGTGAGCGAGGCTGTGGCTTCTTCTAAACAACAGGATAGGGCAAAATTGATAGGATGTCCTTTCCATGGTTGCATCACATAAGATTACATCCTTTCCTCTTATCTCCCTGGTTTGCTATTGTGATGAAGAAAGAGGCCATATTAGGGAGGCCCACGTGGCAAGGAACTGAGGGCAGCCTTTAGCCCAGGATGCTTAGGAACTGAAGCTCTTGGTCCAACAGGCCCTAAGAATCTGAATCCCACCAACAATCACGTGAGCCTAGAAGCAGATCCTTTACCAGGTGAACCCTCTAGGCTGACACCTTGATTGCAGCCTCAGCAGAAACCCTACAACAAAGGACCCAGGAAAGCCTTCCCTAAATTCTCAACCCACAAAAAGTGTAAAATAATAATGTGTATTGTTTAAGCTGCTAAGTTTGTGACAATGTCGATATACAGAAATAAATAACTACTACAGTACGGCACAATATTTAAGGGAGAAACAAAAGGTAATGGGACATCTCTTAAGAATGCTACAATAGCAGTGTATCCTTGTCCTTCTGAGGGCATAACAGAAACTAAGAGAACAGACTTGATAATCATAGAAGGATTGATAAATCACATCAGGGAGAAGAAAAAAAATCCATGGACTTTATAAGGAAGTAGAAAGTCTCGTGGACTGTACAAAGGACCAGGAAATCTTGTGGATGCCCAAATTAAGGTTCCTGGTGATGTGCGTGTAAAGAAAGAGTGAGAGATGACAGAATGGAGGTCATGGCTCGTGCAGGACTGTGTATATGAATATGATATCATGTTGGCAAGGCTGGACACAAAATGGATTCTCAGGAGACCCTTTGATACAGTTAGGGCTGCCATACTTTTTGGAGTGACTCCCCCTGTTGTCAAAGACCAAGGCTATTGTTTGGTGTTTATTATCCCAGAGGCTGAGAAAAGGAAGACAGCGTTATCTCTACAGAAGTACTTCAAGTCTCTGCAGCCAACCCGAGGTGATACAGGAAAAACAGCAGGCGATGGTGTCAGTATTTTCAAAGTTCTCATGAGGGACAGACATCTTGTACTTGGAGGCAAAATGACATAAATTGACTTGGTCAAGGAGGTCATATCACAAGGAGAGATGTGACCTGCTCTTGAACTATATGTTATGCAGTCATTGGCTACAGCATTCAAAACCCTTCATTGGGCACAGGAGGAAACTTCTGGCATTAAGGCCAATGACGTAACTCTAAGGCCTATGCAGTACTGGATTTGATAATGAGGTTGAGGTTTCTGAAGCAGTTGAGGCTTTTCAAGCAGAGAGGTGATTGATAGTGTTCTACATAGAATGGGGTTCTTGCCGCTGTTCGGTGCATGGATTAGAGGCCAGGAGGCCAGCAAAGTGGGGCGAGGGCTTTGGCCAGAGGCTGGGCTGGAGAAAATGAGAGCAGAGCTACAACTGAGTATTGCTCCTGGGAGTGAAGGGGGGACGGGCACAGAATGAGGGACATTTAGGGATCGATTGTTAGGATCCAGCAACAACTTAGCGAGATGGCAGTGATAGAGGGAAAATGCCCAGGATGCTGGTTTGGAAGCGAAGTGGGCATTGGAGCCACTCCCTGGTGAAAGGGCCTAGGTCCACTGGAGGATAATCAATGAGAAAGGCCCAGAAAATAGTTAGATGTCCATGTCTGGAACTTAAGAGAGAATCAGAGTTCAAATATAGGTTTATGAATCAAATTCTACCTGGATAAAAAAACAACAAAATTAATGAAATATATGAAATAATATAATAATTTTGAAATTATGAAAAAATAAAATAAAATAAATGATGAAATAATGCCAGCATCTTTCTAGCTACAGTGGCCAAATATATCCCAAAACTCACTAAATTTTCTATTCATCACATTGCACTTAATAGGCTACACACAAAATCCCGGATGGAGAGCGAGTCTTAGGTCATCATGAGGCACTTCCTGCAGCCCTTTGCGTGCACATTCATGCATGTCCAGTGAGGGCCACTGCAGGCCAGGCCCTGACCCAGGCTCTGGGGAGGCCCAGCCCTTCTCTCTGACCGCAGAGAGCTAGATGGCAGAGTAGCAGGTTTATCAGACACGAATACAAGCTACAAGTCATAACGAAAGTACAACTACGGCTCAGACAAGTGCTGTGATGAAACCAGTCTCAGCGGTCAGGGACGGTTTCTCTGAGGAAGCGACACTTGACTGAGCTCAGAAGCACGAATCAGAGAGAAGGAGAAGGAAGACAAGGGGCATTTCAGAAAGAGAGAACAGCATCTGGAAGAAAGAAGGGTAGGAAAAGTCTGAGGACTGAGAAGTTAACAAGTTCTGCCCACGTGGAGAGAGCCAGGAGGACGATGGGCCAGGGGCAGTAACCAGGTAGCTTTCAAGGATCCCTGGAGACAGGAAAGTACCCTCAGTAAACGGCTGATAAAGCTCATAAGAACGCCTACAAAAGAAAGGAAAGTATATTCCGCCTGGCTAATTAAATGAACCAAGGTGCATAATAGTGATGGTCTATGATCATGTATACCTTAATGAATTTTAGCAAATTAACTCAATTGAAAATAACTTAACCTCCTCATAGAAAATGCCACAGAGAAGTGCCTTAATTATATAGGAGTTCAATAAATCTTATCTGAATCCAAGCTGCTATTATTAAATAGTCTGTCTTCCTACACCGGATGATGTTTGCTAGTTTAGGGTCACGTTCCACTAACATAGGAAAGCATCTAGAACATTCCTTGGCCCACGGGCACTGTCCATGTTTGACAGCCTCCCATCAACCCTGTGGTGAAGGTGTGATGCTCCTCATTGTACAGAAACTCAGAGTTTCGGGAGGATCTCACAGTGACCCTGCTGACATGCGAGAGCAGACCCCGTCTTAACTGGGGTGTTTCTTCCATCCCATGCTACCGCCCCTTGCAAAATAAAGATCTCATGTTTAAAAAATAATAATTTAAAGTAATTGAATCACTTAAAATGCAGATTTTTGTCTTTTTAACCCCAATGGAAATGCTAAGAGAAATTTGGAAATATGTGTGAGACTTTAAATACTAAAATCAGGCTGGGCGGTTGTTTCTGTGAATGAAAGCACGTAATTAACTCTTCCCCCTGGCGTCTTACTGTTTCCTGACTATAATCTCTTTTCTTTTGTCCCAGGGGCAATAGAAGGACAACGAAAGAAGGATTCGGTGATTTGCAAGTCCAGAACGTCACTCTGCTGAAAAATAAGTGAGAATATGTTCTTGTGTATTATAGATGAGTGAAAAGTTTAATTCTGTGGCAACTAAGCACACACACACACACACACACACACACACACAGAGTTAATGTGAGAGAATTAGATTGCTGGCAGTGATCTCGGAGGTCACATGGCGACCAAGGTCCAGAAAGAGAAGGAACTTGATGTTGTCAACCTGCCAGCAGGAGTGTGATGCCGGTATAAGATCAGAAGCTCAAGCATCCATAGCACTTCAGACCAGGGTCACTTCTACCACCCACCCAGGTCTCTAAACAGCCCCAGAAACAGACACCATTGTTCGGCTGGTGAATGATTTAAGTGATGGCTCAGGGATGGGTCAGGCCACAGGTCCACGGTCAGGTGTCACACGCAAGAAGTCAAGAGGGAGACACCTGCCTGTATGGTTTCTTTTCTTTGTCCTTCAACTGAGTAAGACATTTACTGAGTAAGTATGGCCTCAGGTCTTGCACAGACTACTGAAGATGCAGAGAGAGGACAGAAAAAGTCCTAGCTTCAAAGGGCTCACGGCCAAGTCTTAAAGCTCAGGATGGGAGCTCATGTGATAAAGTCACTGAGAAGAGACTGATCCCAATGTCAAATCCAGCTGTGCGGTGGACCAACATTCTGACCCTAGGCAATAACCCAGTGCTCAGAAGGATTACAGGCTTCCCTGTGCCCAGCCACAGCTCCCTCACGGGCCCCGCCAGAGCTGTCTCTGCCCAGCGGTGCCCAGGGTCTCCGTGTGCTATACCAGTTCCTGCACCCCAGTCTATTTCAACTCAAGTCAGTTGCCAAACATTCATTCAATTCCTACCATGTGCCAGACACATGGAGCGTTCATGGGGCCCTAAGATTTGCCTGAAGAAATATTTTCCCTAAGCAGAGTGAGTGACTGCCTGTAAAACAGAACACTTGAAATATTTTCAAGACCACATTAAGCAAAGGAAAATCTGTGGCTGTTCTTCAATGTTTACATTACATTTAAATAATGCATTTTAAGTCTGTTTTTCTTACTTCATGACAATAGCGAGAGATGGGAGATGGAAGTGTGAGAAGCCTTCCTTCAGATGGAGATGTTTGCAGCAATTACATACATCAAAGTAATATTTACACTTACATTTGGGGGGAAAAAAAGATAGAGCAGTGCTTTTTTTTTTCCTGAAGCAAATTATTTCAGGATGTGTCATAGCATGCTCAAGATATATTAAAAAGAGCAACAGACGATGTTTCTGCAACCTGTTCCAAACCATTTATAAACCCAACTTAAAAAAAAAATTCCCATATCCATACAAATCTCTGTACCACTGCATATTTTATAATGAAAGTATTATATGAATATAAATTAGTATTTATAATTTATAAATGTCTGAAGACTATAGATTTGGGTCCACTGTCTTACTTCAATAACAGTTAAACCGATGTGCTCATCCTCCATACAAATTATAGTTATCAGCGTTTGATGGTGAAGGCCTGGGGGCGCTACAGGTGGGCAGTGCCAGGGAGTATAACGTGTCCATCAGGGCTGGAGTTAAATCTCCACCGACCTGCTTACTAGCGGGGTGACCTCTCTCAGACAAGCCCATTTCCACCTCAGTGCCGCAGCTATTTTAGAAATGGTATTTGGAAAATAATGAGTAGGCTGCCCTGTCCACCATGGCTCCCTGTGCCTGAAGCGGCTCCAGTGTTTGGGGACTAGATGAGTGACCTCTGTGGCGTGCCCAGAACACAGCAGGCCCTCAGTAAGTAACGAAGACTAGCAGGCACTGAGCGCGCACTGATCTAGGTGCTGTTGTAAGAGCATCTAGGAAGCATCTCACTGGATCCTAACAGCCCCACCCTTTTCTAGGAGCGAAGGATGCCGGGCTGAGTGGCTGGGTGTGGTAGGTAAGGGTAGACATTTACACATTATTACTAACATCTATAGCCACCTGGCACTGCCTGCCAGTGCCTTCACCACTGCCATCCCTGAGTTAGGGGCAGGAGTCAGCTCTCCCAACAGGCACAAAGGACTCTCCACTCCCACCCACCCCCAAATTCAAATACACGTGGACCTCCTAGTAACATACGAAGTAAAACACTAAGCTGAGTGCTCAGGCCCCCCCAGATGATACAGGAACAATCCAAGAAAATTACAGGATCACATCCACAGCCACTACCCACAGTCTGTCCACAATACTGAGATGAATGCATCCTAGGACGTCCCATGGGGGTCATCTGCCTAAATCCCCAATGTTCACTTCCGTACCACTTCGCCATGTGGGTACACACAGAAACATACCAATGGATGCTTTCCAACCAAGTTCGAACTCAAATCGATTGTTCAACACCTAACAAGCACCAGACACCATGAAAGGAACTTTGACACTTAATCCTCGTGATAATGTCCTGGTGCGAGTAGGTACTGTTATTGCCATTTTATAGATGAAGAACAAGAACCTGAGAGAGGTTTCTGGGTCATAATCCCAGAGCAAACAGCGGGTGACAGTGGGATTTGCATTCAGAGTCTAACTCCAATCATGTGTCATTTCTGGGGCCTAACTCATCACAACTTTCTCTTATGTCAGTAAATACACGTGAATCTCACCTTCTGGTCCCATGAGTTTAACAAGCTTGTGTCCAGACGCTCCACTACAGAGAAGGCATGTGTTCACTCCCCAGGAATCTCCACATTCATAACAAGGAAGGCTTTAGCGGCGCTTCCTAGAGTGCGGTCCCTGGACCAGCACCACCAGCGACCTTCTCCAAAGTGCAGATCCTCAGGCCCCGCCCACTGAATCAGAAACGCGGGGGTTGGAGGCATCCATGCTTCAAGAAGCCCTCCTGAGGATTCTAATGCCCATTCCAGTTTGAGAACCTTGGCTTTGAGCATCCCTACTGATAATGCAAGCTTTGGAGCTGGAGTAAGAGCCCTCTGAACCCAGCACTTGCTCTGCCCCTACGACCCTCTATGTCACAGTCAATAGGATGGAGAGAGAAGATATAAAATAGGGATGAGGTGCAAGAGGGTAGGAGGGTGTGGGACAGAATGGTCTCCCCACCTGGGAGAGACCACGGCACTGGGGCCTGGAAGAATCAGAGATGTCGGCATAGCCTCCGCCGTCCAGATGCTCAGTCCGTGGTGGGGGAACCGTAAAAAGAATATATAACAGATCATAAGACACTGTGCCATGAGCCATGACAGAATCAAGCGCAGGCCCTATGGGAGTACAGCGGAGGCTAAGGACCAGGGTGGCTAAGGGTTTGCTCAGGTTCACATTCTGGCGAGTAACAGAGTCAATGTTCCCAGCCACGTCTTCACCTTCCACGTGCAAGTCTCCTTTGCCTTTGCAGCTCTTGGCCATGCGGTTATTAACAGTGTCGCTCACACCTTGTCCATTCGGATCCTTCTTAACGCCTCGCCTCACTGGCTGTCAGCGTTTTCCCTTCTGCCACTAACACCGGCAGCCAGGGTTCATTCCAGGGGGACAAGGAGCAGGTAGCTGTAAGTTCTCAGGGCCCACGAGGGCCAGTGCTCATCCTTTGGGAGCCCGCCTCCCTGCTCTCTTCCCTGTATGAGGAGGCCTCCTGCCGGCCCTTCCCAGAGACAAGCCAGGCGGCCACTGCTGCTTGTCTGAGCTCAACCGCTGTGGTTTCGCCCCACCTGTTCTCCAGCTACCCTGGGACTCCATGGCACTGGGGGATCCCTAAGGATCACTCCGCTCCCTCCAGCCCCCCCTCACTGGGCAGGAAGTGGAGTGGCCCCCAGAAGATCTAGCAAGCTGACAGCTCTACGGAGGGACCAAAGGGCTTCCACAGAGAATGCTTCGAACATAGTGTGGTGTCCCACCAGCTTTGCTGTGGTTGTCCACAAGGAGCTGTTACATAGTAGTTGCTCAATAAACACTGTTGAAGGCGAGTAAGAAGCAGGGAGAATAAAGTCAGGACCCACGAGGATACACCGGGGTGCTGTTAGTGTGTACGGGTCCCTGTGCCTGGCACATACCAGACTTAAATAGATGAAAGGAACTTTAAACAGAGGCAGAAACATGGAAACAAGACGCGAGAGAAGCCAGAACACGTGGGGCAGGGGCAGAGAGAAGGTGGAGGAGACTGTGGACTCTGGGGCTGACCTGCCCCCTGGAGCGAGACCAGGCGCGGCAGGCCGCCAGCTCTGCGGCTCTCACTTAGCAGGTCAGCCCACCAAGATGCCAAGTACATCTGTTCTCGTCTTTTAATATTTGTCAGGGACATGGATGGCTTACAGGTTACAAGATGTGTTTCATGTCTTCAAAGAACTTAAAATCTAGTTGAGGAAAGAAAAAAAACATAAGGTTTTTAAATACGACCTTTAAACAAGAAATTAATAGTTATACACTGCCTTTTAACTATGCTAAGTATGTCATTAGAGCAAGAAGTGCCACAGGTGGGTAGAGGAAGAAGGCCACGGGCCGGCAGGCAGGTCCTGGGGTGCAGGGGAGGGGGGTGCCTCCAGCCGACGGGGTCTTTGGAGACATGAGCGTTTGCAGTTCTGAATGGGGCCACACACTTTCCCAGGACCCCTTCAGGGAACTGCATACTCCCAATTTTTTTTTTCTTTGTAAAATTCAATAGAAAAGAGGAGATTGTTGAAACTAATGAAGGATTCCTTTGACAAAGAACGAACCCAGTTATTCACTTATGAAATATGAGCCTTGACCTGATTCCACTTTCGTGTGAATTTCATCTGCTTCAAAGTAATATGGGGTAGGAAGATACTCCCCAGTCTTGCACTTACCATGAAAAACAACGCAGAGTCTGTTCTGGGGTATTTGGGTGGGATGTGTGCACACGTGCGGGACAGGCTCCTGCTCTCTGCGGACACCGCTTGGCCTTGTTGGGATAGGACAGGTCTGCGTACGAACCCAGCCTTGGTCTGCAGCGTGTCTCGAGGCTGTCTTACCCTTGAGATGCCCCTCGTATCTCTGCTTCGCTGGGCATGTGTGCATTCATTCATTCTCAGTCAACAACACATTGTTGTGCATGGGCCACGTAGCAGGCACGGCATTAGGTACTGGTCTCCCTTTTAGGAGATGGGGGCCCAGTGTAGGAAGTTTGAGAAGTCATGCTGTGCTCTGTTCTGCTTATGAGCGTGGGTTCCATGGGGCAGATGCCTGACGATAGAGGAAGGCTTTGGTGGCCACTCTCACTGCAGAGGCCATCATGACCTCTTACTCAGACGTCTATACCCCAGCCCTTCCCTCTCCAGTCCGTCGTAGGTGCTCCTCCGCTATTTTTCTGAGATGCAGCTCTGAGCATCCTTGACCCGCTGCCTCCAGGTGGACACAGTCCTTCCAGCTTATCCTTCAGCTTCCCTCCTATCTGCGCACACTGCGCATCTCCAAACCTCAGCTCTCACAGCTCCCTGATGCAAACGCTCCACCGCCCTCCAGGTAGGGGAGAGGAAGGAGGTGCCATCAGACAGTCCGGGTGTGAAAGGTCTCACTCCTCCAGGGGCTCACTTGGGCCTCAGTCCATCTACCTGCAGAGGGAAAGGTCTATGCATGATCCCATTGGGCACTAACATCCCATTAGCCCTAAAATTCATATAAAGATACTGCCCACCAGGAATTACAAGGAGGTTTGGGTAAAGTACACAGTGACTGACACAGTACAGACCTTCAGATACAGGGAAGAAGGAAACGGATTTAGAACTTTAGCTCCACCTTCTTTGCCCCCTCTAGTTTATATTAAAAATGCCTTTTATAATTCTTAAAAGTATCGGTTGTCTTCCAAACACTAGAGAATTTTATTCTCACGCAGTCTTTTCATTTCAGGGGCAGATCTGAAAGTGAGGCGGGGAGCTGAACCCGTTAATCTTGGAGGTTTAGGAGAAGGAGAGAGCTGGCAGGGTGAAACCACCCTGACCGTTTCCCAAGGGTTTTGCTACCGAAGTCTGCACCAGCCATAGGTGCCAGGGGACACCCAGAGGGGCCCACATCCCAGGGGTGATGAAGAGTCAGTCTCCGTGCCAGGAGCTTGACCCTGGAGACAAGCCCGAGCCCCGTCTCTATGGGACCGAATAACACGCCATCCAAACTCTGTTCCCATGGATCAGAAAAACTCAGCTACGTCTTCCTACTTCATCAGATCCAGGTCTCCCAGGTAGTGGGGGTGGGGGGGGGTGGATGAGTTTAACTGAGTACCCTTTAAAAGTCAAAAGTTATTAAACATATTAAATTATTAAAAAGTAGTAAACATTTAAAATAATTCAGAAATTAAAAACCTGTATTTGTAACCAAGTAAATATTAAAAACCAAAAACCTCTGGAGGTCAGCCCTGCTCATCTTCCGCGAATTCCCCCGCCACGTCCTAGACACCTGCCTACACAAGCCAGAAATACAGAGGAAAGCCTGCCTCGCTCAGGCCCAGATGTGGAAGGGCGTGGGGGGTGGAGGCGGGGTAGAGGGGCGGCTGCCAAGCTGTAACACCATCCAGCTGTGGCCAGTCCGCACATGGCGGTGTTATTGATGCTGCTGACGACAGGACACCAGGGTGCATCCTTGTAATTTCCTGGCAAGAGGCAGCTTGCTAACACATGGGCCTTGCTTGAGCACAGAGAAAACACAGGGAAATCTCCATGTACTTTGCTAGCAGCGTCTTTTCATTAATCACCCTGGGCTGTCGAGCGGCAAAGAGTGTTAACACACAGGAACCTTTCCACAAAGGCTTGTCAGCTGCTGGTGTCCACAGCCACACTCCAGCCAGACAGAACTGTGGCATCCAGGATGCCTCTGGGGACCCAGCCCTTCCCAGGCCCTGAGCAGCAGGCTCAGCCTTTCTCTTCTCCTCCCCACCCCCACCCCCACCCGCACCCACCCCTTGTGAGCTCAGCTGGAATAACAAGCCATTCCCTGCTTTGCTGATGCTGCCTCTGGTAATTCATTTGGCTTGCACTGACGCAGGCAAGGAGACCCCTGGGGTGCAAAATCCCGGAGGGTATAACATATGAATGAGCACCATCGCTCTGGGACCCCAGCACCGAGAGCTGAGTGGATCAGATAAGCCTCTTTCAGGCAGCACTGACAATTGCAAACTCCCAGACACAGAGAGCTCACGGCCTGAGTTGCTGCTCTAGGCTCGTAAATAATAAGGGATTTAGAGTGGGACAAATCCGGCTCTGCCTAGTGCTTGCTGCCACGTTAGGCAAGTCACTTCACTCTTCTAAGCTTTAGCTGCATCTGCAAAGCGAGAAAGCCTTCCTCCAGCCTGAGCCCAGCCTCACCCAGTGTCCCTGACAAGCACTTTCCCTTCTGCAGAACCACTGCGTTTAGGCGTCAAAAGGCTTCGGTTCTGCCTCCAAGAGTCTGAAACTTGGAAGCACGAATGAGGCAACATTACTTCCAAAGTGCTTTTTCTAGCGTTAACAGCCTTTGATTCTAAAATCCACATGAGGTCAAGATAAGAAAAAAGACAGAACCCTAATCTCAAAGCTACAGTTCTCTCTAGGAGCCCGACAAGAGTGTGTCGGGTTCCAGAGCCCCAGACTCAGACATGTGTGCTGCCAGCACTGGACACACTAGCCATGGACACTGCTGGCCATGGCCACAATGGATACGGCCATAAACACGTATCATTTCCATCTAATGCAAGTCTGGGGAGAATTTTGAGGCCTTAATCAAAGACCAACAGTCAGGGAAGAGGCCATGTGTTGAAAGTGTCAGGAGAGAGCTCTCGGGCCCCAGATAAATGACCAGCCTTCCTGGCTGACTTACTGTTAATTTTTGCAGAATCTCAGGCAACTTGAAAGGGTGCCAAGAGCTAACCACCAGGGTTCTGAGATCACAGCTGCACAGTTTCTGCAAAGTCTGACCCAACACCACCTACAGGCTGGAGCTGGGAGAACAGGCAGGCGGGTGACAACTCCCTTTCTCTTTGGGAGACTGGGCCAGTGGGGGGGCCCTCTGAACCCTCGTTTCCTCATCTGTGGACTTGGAACAAGTCTAGCTACCCCACAGGGTTGTTTTGAATATTAAAATGGGGGAACAGAAGGCAACAGCGTGAGCTGGAAGTTGGACCCGTGGGCTGTGGTCTCCTGGTTACTAACATCTCCCTGGCTTAACTGTTCTGCGCCCAGTGTCCCCACCACCAACCAGGCCTCGTAAATATTTACACCTGGTGTGTGTCGCGATGCTCAATTAATTGCTCCTGTGACGCAGGTTGTGAGCCCCGGAGGGAAGGTGCAAAGCCAGGCCCAGGGGATGGTAAAGGCACAGCAGACAAGGTGACTCACAGAAGACACGTCCTTTGAAGCTTTCCATTGCCCGGGGCTTTCCAGACCATTGCCCAAAATCAGGGGAGAGGCGCTTCCAAAAGCACCCTGTCCAAGGGCGAGTGGGGTGATCAGGCAGAGCCCTCATGGAGAAATGACAAAGATGTGTACAGACAGCTTACCACAGAAGAGATGCAAATGACCTGAAACCCTTTGATAAAGACACCAATAATAATTCAATCTCAGTAGCCATCCAAAAAGTGAGGCAGGGAAAACAAGGGGACATGGAGGCAAAGTGGTTTCAAAGGATGGATTTCATGCTGGTGAGATATAGGGAGATGTCACTTCTCACCTGGGCCCTACAACACGTATTAATGCAGCTCATCCTGGGTGATATGCACCCAGGGGTCAGGAGGCCCACGTTACCTGCCCCCCTTCATTGCACTTGATGGAGTCTCTCCATGGAACTATTCAGCGTTGAGGTTAAAAACACAAAATGGATGCACACTGCAACATTGCTAACAATAGTCAAAATGAACCAGACCCTAATTGCCCTCTCCAAAAACCATACAGCCCAAAAATGTTTTTGAATAACAGCGAAAGCTATACAACGTGTTTTTAACATCAGGACCCTGCACATTCTTCTATGCTATGTTGATACCTACTCATATGTATTTAAATGGACACAGACATCCTCACTCACACCTGCACGTGTGACAAGGAGATTTGCCAGACTTGGTGTTGATTGTTGTTTACATCTAAGTGAGTTGTTCTATTTTCTACATGCTCTGTCACGAGACGTTACTTTAGGTCTAGAAGAATGCCAACATCAGGAAATGGTTCCATCGGTTGATCCGGGAAATGGCCTTTGATGACTCCCCACCCCTTCCGAGGAGGTCTGTGAACTACGTGCGGCTGACACTCACCTTGGTTCTCTTTTCTGCCCTAGGTCATGGCCTCGGCTCAATAGTGCCACAGGTGAGTCAGGGGGCCTCAGCCCCCTCAGTGGGTGGGAATGTCGGCTCGGGTCTGTTAGACTCTTCCTTTCGTTCTTTCCTTTCTTTCCTTTGATAAAGCCACAGGCCTGTTCAAAATGATGTGAGCGGCTTGTGGTCTTTCCCTCTGGTTACTGCCAGCGTACAGCCTGGCCTGTGACTTCCACAAGCACTGGAAGCTGGCAGATCAGGCGGGCATCCTGGCTCTGCACTTGTTAGCCTGGGCTGAAGCACACCTCCCTCTGAGCCTGGGTCTCTTCCTCTGTATAATGGGTGGAAGTCTGCCTAAGTGCCAGTATCGTGGCTACTTATTAGTGTTTGTCCAACTAAACTCTACATAATGGGCTCCCCCCAAGAAAAAAACAATGTGTGTTGCATGGATGAATGCGTCAGAAACCACATTTTGTGCTTCTGCTGCCTTTCTTCTCCGAGCCTAGGTCCTGGTCCTGGCATTTCATCACAGCCCCTTTCAGGTGTGACTAAGAGGCTATACTATTCATCTTAGAGCATTACTATGTCAAGAAAAGTCCCATAGAATTTCCCTAGAAAGCTGGTGGCTAAAAATGATGACCGGAATGAGACAAAAAAAAAAGAGAGAAATGGACAAGAGAAAGTGTGCAAAGCAGTGATCAAATCATAGGGTGTAATCAGCAAATTAATTCAAATCCAACAGCCCGTGTTGGAGCGTTTAACCAGCACCCAGCATGTCCCCCATAGCAGTGAGGAGAATGGGGGAAGTAAAGTAAAAATTGCAAGTATGAATCTAAATAAGAAATGAGCACCAGCTCCAATCCCCCTGACAGAACACGTTTCTATCAAGCTTCCCATCCTGTCCCCACAAAGGTTATGTTCTCTCAGGATAGATGCTTCCAGATTGTACTAGAACCTTCATTCTCCAATACACCCCCTCCACCCGCTTGCCATCTCTCATCCCACCCCACCATCCACTTCGCGTCCTGTAGAAAATTCTAAAGGGGGTGGTGCCCCGGAATGAAGTTGCTAATCTGATGCCATGGTTGGTGAATTATAAACCACGGGACCTGCAAATGTAGGCCTTGCCCCTCACTCTCCACCTGCATTAAGGTAGAGAAAAACTGACAGGCTTTCTATTTCATTAACAGCATTCTAGAGACATAAGCAGATAAAAGAAAACCAATCATACCCCCTAAAAAAAGTCCACTGAGATACAGCTGCCCAGGGCTGCCCACACACACTCAAGTCTAAAATACTGCCAAAATACTCCTCAGCAGCACACCACACCACCCGCCTTTGCATGCTGACAAGCCTCTGCAAGTGTGTATTGGACTCCCACAGAACTGATACAATTAAGGATGCCCGTGATGATTGACATAAGAGGCTGCTCATCACAGTGAAAGTGATAACATTCCTAGATACTAGATATCTAGATATTGCATTTTTTTTTGCCACGGGATTAGTTGAAAATATGGTGGGGCATCCATGAGAATACTATGTAGCTGTTCAAAATCATGTGGTGGAAGCAGATTCACAGGCTTGGATGTGTTTACAGCATGCCTCTCTATGAGAGAGCAGGCAGGAAAACTGCACACAGTGTGATCCTATGCACATAGGCTACAGCACGTGGGTGTGTGCGGGTGTGAGTGATTTGACTATACTTGAACATTTAGAGTGGTCGTCGTAGTAGGGAGACATTATGGTGACTTTTATTTATTTTTTTGCTCTCTATATCTTATACTTTTTCTACAGCGGCATATATTTTATATACTAAAAACAACCTATCTAGCATATATTTTATATGCTGAAAACAATATATCCAAAACAAAAATAGTCCAAGCCTGGAGAAGACAACCACATATTCAGATTTGACAATCTGTCGATATCAATCCCTTCTGTGAGGGTGGTGTGTAGAGAACAGTGCCATGCTTTTCCGTGAAATAAACTCAAGCGTTCTTCTCCTTCCCCTGAATAAAGAAAGAAATTGTAAAAGATATTCGTATTTAGAAAATTCTGTCTTAAGTTACCATACACAATTAAAACCCCAGACAAGGATACATTTTGGTTGATTCAATTAGCCAGAAAAGAAATTTTTTTTTGTCCTGAAACATTTGTTTGTTTGTTTGTTTGTTTGTTTGTTTGTTTGTTTGTTTGTTTGTTTTAGTTTTCTAAGAAAAGAGGTCTTGAAGGCTGGTTTTTCCCACTTTTAAAAGAAAAGTTAATAAGGATTTTAGAACTAGAGGGAGGACAGTCAGGTAGGGAATATGTGAGCAGCTGGTGCCCCCTGCCGGCCCTTTCTAGATATTGCAACACCTGCGTTAATTGGACAGAGGCTGGTTCTCCCCAAGAAGTTGGGGAAACTGGTGGACAGAAACAGATTGAAAAATTGACAGTTGAATTGCTGGACAAAAGTGTTCACCCCATTCTTGTAAGCATAAGCCAGAATTTCAAATCATTCAAGGTCGTTAAATTCAAGGATTAAGGATTATCTTAAAAATTCAGTGCATATCAGTTAAAAACTCATGTTCTCAAGCCCACCCCAGGGATTATGCTTTGACAGGCCTATAACGAGACCCAAGAATCCTTTTTACAATGATCTTTTTATAAGATCGTTGCAATTCAGGTAGTTCTAAGACGATCTTTTGAGGATCACTGGCAGAAGCAAAAAAAAGAAAGAAAAAAAAAGGAAAACTACCAAGACTATGCTCCCAAGAAGCTTCTGCTTCTGTCAGCTATCTGGATGATGACTGTCTCAGAATATTTCATCTGAATTTCTGGGGATCCCCCGAGAAACATACGGGAGGCAGCTGCCTGATCACTCACCACTCGTTCGTTCATCCATCCACTTATTCAAGCAATTGGTGGTAGCTGTCTGTGTGACAGATGCTACAGCCAGCTTCGGACACAGGTTTTTCAAAAAGAAAATGAAGATGGCGAGTCTTGAGGACTCCGCTAGTCTGAGGTTCTACGACCGTGCTTTACAGGTAAGAAAATTAGGAACTAGAGCAGGGACTGAACTTCCAAAGGCCACCCAGTGAGAACGTTAAGGCTGTTCTCCCAGCTCACTAAATGCTTCCCGCGTAGCTATTTCTGTGAGCTTGGACTATCAGTGCTTAGAATTTACAACTCATAATCTTCCCATCAGGAGACCGAGCTTCAGCGAACAAAACTGAAATGCTCAGAAGAGCTAGATGACTGAGCTGGTAGGTAGATAGATAATAGATAGATGGTGATAGATAGATAGATAGATAATAGATAGACAGATAGATATATATAGATAGATAGATAGATGATAGATCGATAGATAATACAGATGAAAGAGGATAGGTGACATATAATATATAATACAATAGATATATCTAACATACATACATTATGTGTATGTGTGTGTATTCCATCTCTATTTCTGTCTCTTTTCCTTCCTACTTCCCTCTTTTCTTCTCTCTTCTTTCTCTTCTTCCCAAATATAAGTCATATAGTCAAGGCTCATTGGCCATTATAATCCTTTACTCAGAGAGAGTGAAAGTGAATATCAAGCAGCTCATTCCTGCCTTCCTGTAGCCATGGACTGATGCCACACGGAAGATGGTTTAAAGTTAGTTAGGAACGCGCCAGGGTACAGGGTGTGGGCAGCCCTAATTCTCATCATAGTGAGACAAAGGTCAGGTTGATGCTGTCTGTCCCCAAATAATTTCGATTTCCAAAAAGATAAAAATTAAGAAAGGCAGCACAGGGTAGAGGAAAGAACCCAGGGCTGTGAGTCTGGATCCCAGAATTTGAACACTGGTTTTCTCATGACACCAGCACATCCTAAGACCTGAAAAGGAGAGAAAATGGAAAGAAACTAACATATACAGAGTCCCTAGTGTGTGCCTGGTGTTTTATAAACTTGTGTAACTTAGCCACAGGGAAGCAGTTTTATTACAGTCACTATAGAGGTAAACAGCGCCCCAGAGAAGTTACAGGAGCTGTGAAGACCCCAAATCCATCACAATACACTTGGTGTTGTCTGCCAAATGTTTTTGGCCTCACTGCTTTTCACCTTTAAAATGAGGGGGGTCGACCAGATGCTGGCGGACACTGAACGCCTGAGCTTCACAGCTGGGAGGGACCCTAGCTTGAAGAACCCTTGCAAAGGAGCGACAGATGCGCGGTAACAGAGTTGAATGTTGAAAAAGACACATGTTTTGTTTTAAAATAAGCACTAAATAATGAACAAGTTCCTACTGTAGATCTGAAGCAGCAAGTCCTGAAGGATCTGGATTGAGTGGAAACGATTTGGTCATGAAGTTGAACTTGATAAGAGAGCTCAGAGCTCAGCAATTCGTTAGTGGGGCACAAGTCAGGGCGTTACTTTTCTTCAAACTTCTCAACGGCTATTTGGAAGATACCACGATTCCCACTGTACATGTTAACATTAGTTAGCCGAGGCTTATAAGCTCGCCTGAGGTCCCATCTCCGGAAAGTGACCCGGCCACAGATTTGAACCTGGAACTCCTCATTCGACTTCCATGAAGTAACGCCTTTCCGCTTTTGATCAGAGTTTCTGCTAGGTTACTGGTGAGCTCCAAAGCTGATAAAACATGAAAAGCTGCCAGACATTTTTAAAAAAAGAAATCACTTTAGAAAATAAACATGGCAGATGTTTTTGTTTTTTTTCTCATGTAAGTCAAGTCCAGAGGGGAGATGTCTGAGGCCGTTTGGCATCTTGATTCCTTGAGTGCTCCCGCTCCCCATCTCCCTCCCTCCGGTGTATTGGCCTCAATCCCAAGGCCCAAAACAGTGATATCTGTGCTCCAGGCAGCAGGAGAGACAAAGGGAAGGGAAAGAAAGAATAAACAGCATAAAATGACTTCTCTTAAGCAAGCTTCCTGGAAGTCATGAGTTGACTTTCCACCTCTTTCATCGACCAAAACTTGGACTCATGGCCACGAGGAGATACAAGGAAGATCAGGATGTGTAGTAAGGACTCACTTTAGGTGGCCCTGTACCCAGCTAACTGTCAGGGGTTCTAGTACTGAGAAGACAGGGAAACGGGCGGGCGAGACACACAGCTGTCACTGGTGGGCATTTGGGTTCACTGGCTTCTTGCTTTGCTCCATATACTCATGAGTAAGTCCAGCTGGCAGCCTCTGAAGTTGGAGTCAACCTTAACCCCTCTCCCAAGCCCAGACCTCTCTCCCCATCTCCCTCCCTCGGAAAACTTGTGAAGAAATGAAAACGGAAGTTAGTTTTGCTTGGGGAATTTGTTTGAATGTGACTATCCCATAGAAACAGCACTTGGGGTTTGGCCAGCTACCCTGGCCCTGTAAAGGTACTAGATGGGGCACAGACAGGGCACTGAAGTTCACGGAAGTGTTTACAACTGAAAATAGTCGGCATCTCCAACTTCATCCAACTGACGTGGCCCATCGTCCAATGAGATGGGAGCCTGAGCTTCTCAGTCAGGAATTTTCAGGCTTTAGTCTGAATGACGTCTCTGTAGGAGCTTGTGTAGACAGCAGCTGGTTTGCGCTGGGGCCCCGGGTTTTCTTTATCTCCTTTTTTTTTTTTTCAGCACCCAAGATGAAAATGGTCAGGGACCTTCATTTCATGGGTGTTGGCCATACGCCTTTGCCGTACGTCTGTGGGCATGAGAAGAGGTGGCTAAGATGATGGCCAAAAGCTGGGGCAATTGCTTCCTGCCAGTCAGGAAAGCCCCTGAGTTTTACATGACACACATTTATCGTCACTTCCCTCTTAAAAATAGCATGCAAGGGAATGTTGTCTTTTCTACAAAGGGGCACGCAGAAGTCAGTTATGCTCGGGAGCTGCCTGGTGTCAGTGGGTGATGAATGACCCTCCACAGACACGACATGAGCATAAGTCTTCCAGGACGGTGATGTGAAAAGCAACTTCGTCTTCTCAGAAAATGGCTTTCTGAGATGCCAGCCTATCTTTAAATCCCAGGAAGACTCAAAGACCTGGAAGCATTTGTGTGTGTGTGTGTGGGGGGTAATTTGGTGGGGATTGGGGCCCAGCAAGAGGAACTGTCAAACTCAAGTTCACTCAGCAAGGTTGGAGATCGGGTTCTACTTGAAGTTCTATTGTTAGTTCCCAGTTTTGGGGTGTTCCCACTGGACCCCTCACTCTAATTCACAGTGGGCTATTCATTTTTGGTGCACTTGCCATGCACTGGGTTATAGGAGCGAACAAGAGCCTGAACTCTCACCACCGCCTTGGAAAGGCAGGCACCACAGTCCGTAACTGTATATTTATTGGCTTGCTTTGTTCCTACAGGCGACAGAGCAACTAAAAAAGGATATGTTAATCGGGGAGGGCCAACATCTATAATGCATAAACTACAAATGTTAGTAGTTTAATAAAATAAAGGTTCATTCCTTGCTCACATCACAATCCAATTGGATTGAAAAAGGTCTTTGTCCAAACACTCACTGGGGATTCCCTCTCCTGTTATCCAGTGGCTTCCGTTATTCCTAAGGGCCTCGGGGCCTCTGTCTCTGCCCAGCCACTGAGGCAAGAATGAGAGCATCGAGGGTCAAGTGGGCTGGCCTGGAGTGGAGTCCATCACACCACCATGTCCCAGCAGCCATAACGCCAAGCCATGGCTGCCCAGTGCAAGGAATGCTGGGAAATGCATGCCAGCCCAGTGCCCACAATAAGAGGAAATGGGGTTGGTGAGCACACGGCATTCTCATTGCCATGCCAGGAGTTTGAGGTAGTGAGGACCAGGAGTGGAGAGGTGCTCCTGAATTTTTACGTGTAAGATACAATCTGAAGGATGAAAAGGATCCAGGCAAGGGCAGAGCTAAGAAAGAACATTCTAGACTGAGGAACGGCACACGCAAACTCTCTGAGGTAGAAGGAGCTGTGTGTCCTGGAGAGACTTGAAAGGAGGCTGACAAGGCTGGACTTCAAAGGTGAGGGAAAAACTGGAACGAGATAAGATCAGGGAGGAGGCAGCAGCGGGCTGTGCTGGGCTCTGGGGCCGCGGCAGGGGCTCTGGACTGTGTTTCATGGGCCGTGAGTAACATGCACTGATTTACACGTTTAAAACGATGCTTTTAAAATTACATTTCCAAAACCCTGCATTGTTATTCGCACAGAGAGGTACTGTGGGAAACAGAGATAAAAGACAATTCCTTTCCCAAAGTTGGACAGTGTACATTCACAACAAAGAAGTTGTCAGGTGCTGCCTGTTTTTATTTAAGTGTCTTGGTGAGTGAGACAGAAAATGAGTGCTCTAACAACTCAGAGATACGCAAGTAGCCTGGAGTGATCAGAGAGGAGTCCCAGGAGGATCTCCAAAGACACAGCATTTTGGAAAGCAAAAAGGGGGTGGGGGGAAGGGAAAGAGGCAGGGACTCCGGGGGGAGCAACACAAAGACCCAGAAACGACATGCAGCATATCTGGGGACTCCAGGAGTCTCAGGCTGCAATGCTGCCCTTTGCTGAAAGAAGAAACCTTGCAGCTCCCCGTCAGGGTGTTGGTATGACCACACTCGGCGAGGACAATCTCCTAAAATGAAATTACCCTGCGCCCTGAGTTACAGAGTGGACTTGCTTTCCAAGATCACCAGGGCCAGAGCAGGTCCCCAATAAATCTGTGATCACTTCGGGGCCAGCTGGTGTTTGATGGGTGACCTTATTGATTTAACTGAATTCATGAGGCAGTACAACGTGCTACTCTGAAGTGCTGACCAACCTGTGGATTTCTCTGCCAGGGATCTCAGGAGGGGTGTCATGGTGCTGGGACAGGAAGGTGTCGCTAGTGCCCCAGGGCGATGATGGCTGCTGGGTGGGCTGGGACTGGGTTCTGCACCTCCCAGCGCATCACCTCAAGGAGATCAGCTTTGGCTGGTTGACACTTCCCCAGACACTGGTCCCAGACATCCACCCAAGAGCTGTTTTCACCAGCCCAGTTTTCCTTCATTTACACGTTGCACCCTACAAGAGACTTGGGAGTGCTGACACCGATTCCCAGCTCTGAACTTCATATTTTGGTGTGGTAAGAGAATTCGGGGTGACAGGACAAAAGTTTTAGAAAATGCTGAAGCCAGACCAAGATGCAGAAAGGCGTGTCATACCATGGTCCTCTGCCCTTCCGGGGCGCAGACCAGACATTTGCCCTAGGACTCTAGGCAGCCAAAGAAGAAGGGGAAACATAACCTCTTGTGGGATTGCATTTTCCATGAAATCAAAGCAAACCCATCGCTGAGACGCACACAGCTTCTGGTCCTGAGACCTGCTGGGAACTTCTCACATATGTGCTAATAAAGAGAATGTGATAAGAGCCTAATGTTCCTCCATGCAGACTAACAGCATGAAACTGGAGCGCGATTTAGGAAAATTTAGTCTATGAGCAAGAAGACAAACAAAACCAAAGCCCTGCAGGCCATGTGAGCCATCCTTTGGTGATTTTGCATAATCTGAGGGTAAATGGTAAACTCTAACACCTGACACCAAGTGCCCTAAATGACCTTTAGGCAATCTTTCATAAAACAAGCCCAAAGGAGGGAGAGGGGTGTTGAGAAGCTTCAACTAAGCAATATTCACTCAACAAATACCTATCGAGCACTCATCTGGTGGATACATGGTGAGCCATGTGCCTAGAGGTAGGGACAGAGGAGTGAACAGATATGACGCTGCCCTCAAAACACTTACATACAGCCTTTTCAAGGAGACAAGTGTATGGACAGATCATTGCAAATACAGCACATTGGCCACAAGGGGGGACAGGGAGGGGACAGAAACCACTTCCTTGGCTGAGCTGTTGCTGAGTCATGACTGGGTGCAATTGATGTGGGGGGAGGGGTCCTCTCACATGTTCCTTTTACTCTGAGCATGTTAACCTGCTGGGGAAAGACTGAGCCTTCCTAGTTGGAATCTGATTGTTTTTCATCCTTCCCCACTGTTCTTGCTTTAAAGGGCACCAGGTAGAAAGAGAAGTCTAAAATCGGCACTTCATTTTGAGCAATTTTAGTCAAGAGAAATTAATTGAAATGAGCATCAGATTTTCTGGAGAAAAACAAAGGCTGGGCTGAATTCAATGTTTTGCACTAACATGTTGGTGTTTTTTGTTGGCAGGCAGGTACCAGACCATCAGCGAGCCTCTCCTGGATTTCGTAAGTCAGCCGCTTCCCTTACCTGTTTTCTCAGTCTTTGGTATTTACAAAACAAGTGGCTTTTGTCAAGGTGCTTGGTAAATTAAAAACAAAGAAAAAAAATTTTCCAAACGGTATAATCTCCTGACATGGGATATTGCACTTCAATTCATGAGTATAAAACTGTATTGCAATTCCTTAGCTATAAAATGGAGATAAAAATTAATTTACATGGTCGTTGCAAAGATCGAATAAGGTGAAAATTCCAACACACGGTGCTGGCCAGGGTGCAATGAGAAAAGCACTTCCTAACACTCGTGGTGAAATGTTAAAGTGGAACAAACTTTCTGGAAAGCAATCTCATAATATTAACTAATCAAGAGAAAAATATCCATTTTCTTTGGCCCAATAATTCTATGGTTTGGAATTTAAACTAAGGAGCTAACCTAAAATTTGAATTAATATTTGAACATACTCATTTATATTTTATAATAATAGATCTTAAGTGGAAACACACTGGAATCATGCTGTTCAATAATAGAAAAATAGTTGAATATATTATAATATATTCATAATATGAAGCCATTAATAATTACAAAGACTTTCAATGACTTAAGAAAACTTGTAACAGAACTCAAATATATAATATTTATAAATGATTTTATTGTTCAATTGTATATCTTATCTGTATAATTTAAATAGTTTTAACTGACATCTATAGATGGAAGATGAAATAGATGGGATGGATGGATAGATGATAGATAGATAGATAGATAGATAGATAGATAGATAGAATATGCTTGTAAAATCATTGGTTCTTTCCTGTTTCAAAGACTTCTTTAAGAATCTAATTGAGCTAGAGATCCTCCCCCTTGGACACACACACAATCACACAATCACAAACTATTATATTAATCTTGATTTTTATGGGTAGAAAATACTGGCCTTTTAGGTAAGAACCCCTGAGATGGACAGTAGATAGTAGATTGGTTAATAGATAAATAGAGATAACTTATTATAATAAAAACAAAACTCTGTCTCTTTCTCTTTCTGGAAAGAAACCAAAATATTTATATTCAGTCCTAGGAGCAAGACTTAACAGGGTCTGGTGTAGATTCCCTTCAGACTGGGCGTGAGGGTTACTGTTCCTCCTGGTGTCTACACGCCCTACCCCCATGAAATCTTGAAAGGCTACTAGACGAAAAAAGGACTCTGTTCTCACATCCCCAGTTCTTCCAGCAAGTCCGAGACTTTCCCAAAGAGTCTGCACTGTGGAGAGTCTTGTGTGCTTGCCATAACAGTATATAAATGGTGCCCTTGACACAAATGTCCATCTGTCAAATCCCCAAAGGAGTCACATGCCCATGGCTCCAGCTCAGAACACACTTGTGTGCATTTCTGGAGGAGAACAGCCCGGCCACCGTCCCCGCTTTGCCAGGTCAACTGGGAAACCTCCGACCAGCTTTGCTTTGCCCCAGCACTCTGCTCAATAGATACTCAGCACATCACAGGCAGATGCCAAAGTAGAACCTTTATAAGTACATTTCACTCAGTCTCTGAATACAACCACATAAAGTAGGCTTAGCCATCTCCAATTTATGGGTTGAGCATCTGAGTCAAGGAGGTTCAGTAACCTCCCCAAGGTCATAAAGTGGGTCCCACAGTTAAGATCTAGGATGGGGTGACTCTGTTCTGGCTCTATGCTGCCTTCCAGCAGGCCAATCTCATCTGGTTTCCTACCCAAGAACTCCCACTCTGAGCCCTGCTTTCCTCCTGAGACCAGACCAAGGAGACAGGGCTTCATGGCTGCAGGGCCCAGTCACTGGAGGCACAGCATCCATGTGGCCATGAAAATGGTCCTACTCCAACCGTGTGCCCAGTGACCTCATTCCTTTGGGTCACCAAGCTCTCCCCCTCTACCCTATGGTAACGATTACACCTGTTGTGGATGGGCACCCCACCCCGCCATTCCCAGTGTTCAGACTCGGAGCTTATTACCAGTATAACATAGAAATACAACTGAAATCTGTATAGTGACCATGAATCCTGCCACCTTGCTAAATTGTTTATTGGTTCTAATAGGATTTTTTTAGTGGATTCCTTAAAATTTCCCAGGTACAAGACCATGTCACCTACAAATAGGTCCCCTTTCTGCTTCTAAGGGCTTATCGCATACATTGGACCCACTCAGGTAATCCGGGATGAACTCCTGATTTCGGAGACAACTCATAGCAATCTTAATTGCATCAGCAATGTCCCTTCACAAGGGCGCCTAGAGAATTATTTGACCGAATAACAAAGGATGGAAATATTTGCAGACACCGTTAGAACTCTGCCTACCATAAGAATGTAACGGCCCCTCACCTCAGCCTCTTCAATCTTTAATTCCCAGCCAGGAGAAGCCATACCACTCCCTAGCTCGCACTGTAGCCTGCAATCTTTATCATCACTGTACCTTCCTGACTCACTCGAATGGTTCCTCCTGCTTAGGAAAGGAACTTCGCTGCAGTCCCGGATGGAGCAAAAGATCACGGGGATGACTACTATGAAGACCCTGAGCTGCACGTGGCAGAGGCGTGGCGATCGATGAAAATCCTACCAGCCAGGCCTATAAAGGAATCTGAATATGCGGGTAACAGTTGGTTGGGGTCTAAAACCTTAAAATGCACGCCCATTACTGCAACATCGCACAGTAATTAAAGCTGCAAATTTGGAATTAAATCACTCTCAGTTAAAGTCCTGCCTCCATGGCTTTCCAGATGTGTGACCTCGAGCAAGTCTCTAAAACTCATTTTCCCTATCTGAAAATCTGGTTCATAATAACAGCACTTACCCCAGAGAGTTCTTTGGAAGACGCCATGTGTGATGTATGTTGAGTCCCCAGTGGAGGACTTGGTACAGAGTCGGAGCAACTATTGGTTGTTGTTATCATGATGCTCTTCCGGAGTCCTGGGAACAACAGATGAGCATGGCAGAGGGTGGACAGGCAGAGATGTGGACAACGTGGATGATGTTAAGACAGGGTTTGCATAGAGGAGAGCAGAGTGAAAGGGAAGACTTTTTAATTTGCTTGATTCATTTTGCAGGTAGCCGGCATATGAGTAGCACCAGAGCCTGGCATTACTTTTTAAGAGTAAGAAAGGCCTAAATTCACACCCACCTTTGCCGCTTACTGCCTGGGACACACCCGGCAGCTTTAGCAAGCTCTCTGAACCTTAGATATAGCACCCTGTTGTAAGAAAACGCGTGATTTCTGAGGGCCTTGCCTACCAACATGAGTCTGTAGAAGTTGAGGATCACCTTGTAAATAAGCTTGATATTCCTATGTTCATTCACTCAATGAGCATTTACTGAGTGTCTACTGTGTACCAGTTATCATGTTAAGATTGACCAAGGGACACAAAGATCAACAAAGCATAATCCATGTTCTCAGGGAGGTCAGAATCTAGTGGCAGAAACAGAAAGATCAACAGGTAAATGTAACAGAACATGTTAAGTGTATAACATACAAAGGTGGGTGTGGGTGGGTAGGATCTAGAAAGGTTTTCAAAGGGCAGGACGCAGCCCAAGTCGTGAAGGATGAGTAGAAGTTCCCAGTGGATGAGAAAGGACGTTCAAGTTCAGACTTTGGCATTCGCGCCATGTGTGGACCAAGAGGAGTGAGGTGTCCTTTTCGAGCCTCCGTCTCCTCATCTGTAAAGTGAAAGTAGAATTGCGTGCCTCATGCTTTTATTGGGGTGACCCAATGAGTTTGCAGGTGTGCGAATATTTGCTAAATTGTAACGTGCTGAGTCCATGTAAGGTATGACTTTACACTTTTTCTCTTCTCACAGATACGCGCTATTTCAAGACTGTGGTGGACACTCCCTTTTCCTCAGATGCCAAGGCTGCTATCCCCACGGAGGGGCCACCCTGGAACACGAGGCTGGAAGAAGTGAGTAAAGGCTTGACTTCATGAACCAAACAGGTGTAGGACGCTTGCCATGAGCCAGGAGCTGGC